AAGTCAGTGGAGACCAGTGTAAGTTGAAATTGAGGTTGTGTTCGTGCTAAGGTATGATATTATGTTATATGATATTACATTATTCTAATTAATGTTATAACAATGGCATTGTTTAGTTTCAATGTTTCTAATAATAACTATGCAATGACATTTTGATGTTTAAAATTCTTTAAATGTAAAAATTTAATTTTTAAAAATGTTTTAAATAAATAAATGAATCAGAATATTATGAAATAAGTAATTTAAGTTTGACCATAATTATATATTATATATTTTTAGGGGTGAATAAAATGGATGTCTAATGATATGTTCCATTGAACCGCACTAAACCTGCATTATTACTGCACTAGTGCAGTTTTCATCTAAATCTAGCATGGCGCTAGTGCTGCACCAGTTTTCCCAGTGAAAAACGCTATTAAACTAAGAACCGACTATGAATACCGGTCATAGAGAATGGACTGCACGATCCGTGTGTCAAAATAGTCGATAGGGATGAGAGAGAGGGACCGTGATAGACGGCCATTTCTATCTCTTTCCATTCAATGGTGTAATAGGAGAGAGAATGAGAGAGAGATTGGCCATCTCCCACGGTCCCTCTCTTTCATTATTGTCGACCACATTTGATACACTACTTAGATACGGATCGCGCAGTTTTCTATGTCTTTGATTGCAACCTTTTATTAACTGACTGTACGTCATTGCAACCATCTTAAGCGTCCACTTTTTATGCTACTATACATGGTGTCCAGCGAGACTTTTCCAATTCTCCACAGGAAAGTAGATGGGATCGAAATAAACATAAAAAGTCCTTTACCGTTTAGCGATATCCGTAATGATAATCGAGATATTGAAGTTTGTAATTGCACTAATGAGAGCGCGTCGATAGAAAGAATAGAAACGGCTCCGGCCGCTCGAGGTATAGCCCGGCCCAGTTTGTCAAATGTTGTCAAACAATAGATGCGCTAGCAGGAGAGGCAAGAAGGGAAGCGCGCCGTTGCTTAGCGCTCGGCATCGCCGCTCACACGTCTCACCGCACCGCACTAAAGGACTCGCGCGATAGCCGCTACGCACATTCGCGATTACATTACATACGTATGTAATAATAACACTGCAATGTAAGAAGATTACATTATTATTGTTTGTAATAATAACACTGCAAAAATAAGACAAATACAAATCATAATAAACTTTGATGAATAAAAATGTCGAAAGAGAGAAAGCGATGAAACCTATGGAAATCTATGGAAAATCTAATTAATTTCTATCGTAATCTGTCGCTTCTCTAAATCGAAAGAAAAAAATTTTAAGAAAAAAGTATCCAATGGAGGAAAAGTATCTAATGGAGTGCACATGCGCGAAATAAGTAAGTTCCCTAGTAACGCCATCTGAATTTCTTTCTCAGTTGCTCTTTATTCCCCCCCCCCCCCTCTCTCGGTTGTTTGTACATACAGAGAATAGCGCAGTCCATTCTCTATGCTTTGTGGTTCGGATCCGATCTGGTGGTGGGGATTCGATGTCGCTTCTCTCTATATATAGAACTCTAGTAGGAACAAACAACATATATACATAGACCAAGGAGTCTCGTGAGACTGCTCGAACAGGTCGAACGTGCGTTCCGCCTCACTTCGGGTGTTGTATCACCTCAATCATATTTTTGAAAAGCGTCGCCGACTTCGACTGTGCAATTGCATTTACATCACCGATAGTCCCTTTATTCGTCTGGACGCGCGGCCATGCGGCGCCGACGCGTCGTAGTCGCAGGCGCCCAGTATCTAGAAGGGCGCCTCATTTTTATTCGATTGCATCATCTCTTTTCACTACACCTGCCCGGTTTGAGGTGGCCGGTGCATTGCATCCCAATTTTTTCATTTTCACCAAGCGATGCAAACCTCAATGGTCCAGTATCAGCCAGCTCGGTTGCCGGACCAATAAAAAGAAGAAGAAGAAGAAGATACATAGACCAAGCATTCTGTCCGTAACTTGAAGCCGAAAATTGACTGTTTATGTGGTGTTTAGGACCCGTGGTGCCTATTTTGATGAGAGCAGTGCGAAAGAGTGAAATAACACGGGTCCTAAAACGCCACATAAATTGTCAATTTCCGGCTTCAATCTCCACCACTGAAAAACATGGGAATGCTTGGTCTATGTATATATGTCGTTGGTAGGAACATGTTGGAAGTATGTTGGAGCATGCGACGCGACAAACCTATAGTTTAATTTATTCGCGTCGCATGCTCCAGCAATTACAACATGCTTCAATGTGCTCCTGCTATAGCTCCATTCACTTCCATGATATAAAGACATACATAAAAAACCAGGTGACAATTAACATACCTTCAATATTCTGGGTTAAGTTTTGCTATCTATAAATCGGGTGGCATCCAGTTGGACACGGTTCAATTGGACACGAGCCACTCACAGCGCTTGAGACTACAAAGCTCCTAAGCACCGGTCGCTGTGATTGGTGGTGTCCAATCGTGCCGTGATCAATCGGGATCACCCCTATAAATCGAATGTCTTTAATTTATGCATTGCAAAGAAATTATAATAATTTCGAATTCACCGTAATGATGACGTAACTTGGTGACAATTCTGATTGGCCATTTGATTTGAGTCACACGATTTATCGATGTTCAAGACCCTTGTTTTTATATCATGCTCACTTTAAGGTGCCTTTACATGGCAGCGCCAAGCGTCAAGCGTCAGAGCGGTCAGAGCATGCGCAGTAAAATGTTTAATAATTTTACTGAAATTAAATTTAATGTACGAGATACACTAATAGTTGAATCTTGTAGTTTACACTATATAATGTAAATAAATATAAATTTTCAGCATTATATGTTAGGATAGTAGTATATATCAGAACATAACCTTTCATAATTTACCATTTTGCGTCAAGAAACTGTGCAGAAGATTATTGCGCAGGAGTCTGGAAATTCAAACTTCTGCGCAATAATTTTCTGCGCAGATGCTCGACGTTCGACGCTTCCATGTAATAGCACCTTTAGGTCCGTATTCATAGGCTGCGTTCGAAAACATCACCCGGGTGTCTACGTGTATCCTTGGCTGCGTTCAGCAGACTAAGCAGTTTTGCAACCGTTTTATGATTCATCGCGCTGATTGGATTATACTTTTAGATTTAAAGGAATAGTCCTATCTCAGCGAAGAATCACAAAACGGTTGCAAAACTGTTGAGTCTGCTGAACGCAGCCCTTGTTTAACACTGAGTGAACAGCAAAGATAATACGATACGCGGGGGCACTCGAGTGATGTTTCCGAACGCAGCCTTAGTCGTGATTCAACCTAAGAATCTGATTTGAGCTAGATTTAAGTCAATCTTTCATATCAAAAACGCTTCTCAACCATGCTTCTCAAAATACTTCTTAAATCTGATTCACTTAAGCGTAGTTTAAGAAACGCTTGCCGGATTCATAATTCAAGCTATTCATACACGATTCTTGAACCTTATTTCAACATTTCTTCATTCATAGAAGTAATTCATGTTTTAATCATGATTTGAATCGAAGTTCAAATTGCAGTTTTGTCAAAACATCTCTATCGTTGTCTTGAGAGCGATTTAATTTCTTGTTGGTGATCTTTTACAGTAATCTTTGCGTGCCACAGCTAGTTAAACTGCTTTAAGGCGATGCTAAAGCTTCCTGTTTTACCCACATTTCCATTCGAAAAATCTCAGAATTGGATTTACGGATTACAAAAGTATTATTACATAAATTAAAGTACGTACAAACAGGACCTCAGCTGTACTGGATTTCATGAGAAAACCGAAAAAAAGTTAAAAAATTCACTTATTTTGTCTCGTACAGCTGTCACCCTAGATGGGAAAGTTCCGATTGCACACATTGCATGTTGCACACATGCGTCGTTAATTGGCTAATTTAAAAATAAAATATTCTCATTGGTAAAGCAGTGAAAAATTACTAGGCACCAGCTGATATGAGTGTGTGCAATTTTCTGTTTGCAAATTTCGCAAGCATATCTAAGAGAATGATTCTGTGATTGGTGATACGCGAATCCGCTTACTCACGATCCGCTGCATGGAACATCACCTTTAAAGTCCATATTTTGAAAATAAGCGTGCAGCTAAGGTCACATTATTGGAACGAACGATACCGAGTTTGTAGAATTAAGATTGAAAGTTTAAAAAAAAAGTATCGTCACCGAATGGAAAATCCGTGTATACAGATCAAAGACATATGAGCTGTGTTCCAAAATTGTTTGTCAGCGCTGGCAGTACTGCCAACACCGTTCCAAAAATCATCGTAGCACGCTGTGGCAGTGCTGCAAGAGGGTAAAGACGTCATTAATGTTGTCGTCATTTCCTACTGCGGCTGCTGCGGCTGTCGAGGTAAGGCAGCTACAGCACAAGATGGCGGAAAAGATGGAGGAGTTAATTTTAATCGATGCTGAGAGTAACACTGAG